ACCTCACAGTCGTTGCTACGCCTGAGCTGGTCGCTACACCTGAGCCCATCGCTGCCACCACTATGCCCATCCTGTTCTCAATATTGTACGCCATTTTAGCGACCCATTCCTGACGCCCACTGAGGTCTCTAGCCGCTACTGTGCCCTCAGTACTTCTGGGGAAATCCTTCACAGCTCAATACCATTCTCTGTGGCTGTTACTCTACTCTCATCTCAAAAATAATGATAACAGTGGCACCAATAGGTGACAAGTATTAGGTTAATTTGTTGTTCTTGTTATGTGCCGTGGAGTGGTTCCGACTCATAGCAACCCTGTACAGGGTTTCTTAGGCTGTAAATCTTAACGGGAGCAGAAAGCCTCATCTTTCTCCTGCAGAACAGCTGGTAGTTTCGAACTGCTGACCTCATGGTTCGCAGCCCAATTCGTAACCACTACGCTAGCAGTTACTACGTGCCAAATACAGTTTTAATATATATTAGCTCAAGAAGTTTTCAGAGTATGTCTGTAAGATAGGCACTGTTCTGTTCCTTTTATAGAAGAAAAAAAAACTGCTGCTAGAAAGTAGAATTGGAATTTCCTGGTGTGGCGCTGTGGGTTAATATGCTGGACCACAAGGTTGATTTGAACTATAAAGTTGGCCGTTCAAGCTCACCAGCCAGCTGTTCCTCGGAAACCCTATACAGGGTCTCTATGGGTTGGAACCGACTTGACGGCACTTCACAACAACAACAGACTAAAGGCAGCCAAAAGGAGAATTTGGGGAGTGGAGGAGGTGGGAATCAATGGCCTATGGTCCTGATCCTTAATAGTGACAGGAGGGAATCGCTTTGCAGTCTGGTGCATTAACCCACAGCGCCACACTTGGACTTCATATTTGTATGCTATTTAAAAACAGAAAGAAACAAACCCCAAATCTCTTTGCCCTACACCCCTAAATCTTTTTCAGAGTAGAATTTCATTCATCTTTGTATGTCTAGCAAAGGTGTTAAATAAGTATGTAAATCAGCATTAGGTTACCTGTGATTTAGAATAAAGGAAGTGAAGGTCCACTTCATTCCTAGAATACTGTGTTTTATTCTGAGTGAACAAGTTGAATGATATAGACATGTAATTGCATGTTCATAGACACGGTGAGTGACTTTAAACCATACCATATGCAGGTGGTGCAGTTAAAGGAAAGTGTATTGTTTGGATTCGACAAAGTAAGAAAAGATTTATGGGATAAAATAGTTGCTTCAGGATTTTGAAAGACTGACATATGGAAGAAGGATTTGGTTTATTCCAAATATCTCCAAAGAATATAGCTAAGACATGTAGGTGAAACCTACAAATAAAGGGTTTTTTTTTAATAACAAAGTTGTCCAATAGAGAATTGGCCTACTTTGAGAGAGGTGATTCTAGAGATGTGATCATGTGATGTACTGTGGATTAAATGGCCTTGAAATTCTGTCCTAATTCTAAGTATTCTGCCTGGACTACACATTTTAATTAGCTGAGAAGTTTTCGGAGAAATAAAGATAGATGCTCAGATCCAACCTCTGGTTGGTTAGCCCCAATGGATTCTGATGTAAGCCATGTCCGGGCCTCTCTCTGCAATAGCTGAAACAAGTGGAATTGAATAAGGTCGATATGGATTTGTTCTTATGCAATTTATTGTAGCGTAGTGGTTATGAGTTGAGCTGCTGAAGATCAGCAGTTAGAAACTATCAGCTGTTCCGTGGGAAAAAGATGAAATGTTCTGCTCCCGCGGAAAACCCTATACAAGGTCGCTGTGAGTCGAAACTGACTCCATGGCACACAACTACCACCATAGCACTTGAGGGTAGAATCCTGGTGTGGCGCTGTAGAAAAACGCAGGACAGCAAGGTCAGTTTGATGAACCACAAGGTCAGCAGTTCAAACTCACCAGTCTCTCCTTGGAAACCCTATACAGGTTCGCTATGAGTCAGAACTGACTTGACAGGACTTAACAACAACAACAACAATAGCACTTGAGTGGAATCCTGGTGTGGCACTGTAGGATAAGCACTGGATAGCTAACCGTAAAATCGAAGGTTCAAACCCACCAGCCACTTCTCAGAAACTACACAGGGTTGCTATGAGTCGGAATTGACTCGACGGCACACAGTATGACAGCAACCACACAGCACTTGAGTTGTATATAGGTCAGCATAATGCAAATGCCATTACATATTTATTTTCATGTCTGATTCAAACTCCTACAAATTGTGAAGTATTATTAAAATAATAAGAAAACTAGAATTTCTAACCATCCATGTGATACGAACTTGCTTACTCAGCATGAGGGATTTTACCTCTTGTTATGTGCTGTGGAGTGGTTCCGACTCATA